GGGTCTGTGCCCCAGAGCCCCCGCTCGCCGCAGCGCGTTGCCTGCGCCCTAGTTGTGCCGCGCTGGCAGGTCCAGCTCCCCGAGGCTCAACGGGGGCTGCTCGTACTGTGTCGTTCGGGCCCTTGAGTTGTGTCCCGCGATGAACCCCAAGCGTGCCGATGGCAGGCTGGTTAGCGTGAGGGGCTCCTGCGTTTCCCTTCGAGGCCTCGGTAGATGACAGAGCTTCCCCTTCGGCTCTGGAGCTGTGTTTTCTCCAGCCACTGGTTCCCAGGGAACGATGTATTTTCGCTCCTTGCCTTCCCTGCCCGTTGCTTGTTGGCTCAGACCGACGGTTCCCGCTGTTTTATCCCTAAAGCGTGGTTCTGCACCTTGCCGCCTAGCCACGCTCCTTTCTGTCTCACTGTTTGCCACCTGTGGGTTTGTCTTTCTCAGCTCCTGGTGCTCAGCAGTTCTGCTTTCTCCTCTCTACCCGCGCCGGTGGTCTGGGCATAAACCTTGCTACGGCCGACACAGTCATTATTTATGATTCTGACTGGAATCCCCACAATGACATCCAGGTTTCTGACTTTTCCTTTTCCTTCCCATATAGTAAGTACCTCTGTGGCTCTGCCCTCTGTTTGCTCACCCCGCACAGGGAAGTCGGCCTCTTCTCTCGAGAGCTGCTGACGCTTTCTGCAGGATTTATGGGGCACATTTCTGCTCAGCAGCCCCCGTCCCACATCCACTGCCCTCGCCCTGGCCTGTCGGCGGTGTGGGAGAGACCTGGCGCGTAAAACCGTCTCTCTTCCATGGGCTTCTTGCTTTCTCCTGCTGCTTGTTCACAACCTGGTGCCCCCTTCTCTTCTGGGGGGCTTCCAGTTGTGTTTCCAAAAGCCCAGGGCGGACCCTAGCTAGGGACTGACTGCCGATGGGAGGTGGCAGTGGGAGTGGGCGAGCGGCCGATGCCTCTGAAAGCAGTGGGATAGCGAAGAGAAACGCGTATCCCTCCCGCGCTCCCTGACTGGGAGAAGGTCCTCTCCAAAGCTGCGTCCACTGCTGCCGTCCGTTTGTGCCAGCGTTGCCTTTCCCTGGTCCTAGGCAGCCTGGTCCTGGTGCCTGGGGCGGGGCGGCGAAGGAGCAGTGTGGGCCTGGGGGTTCCTAGGGGGAGCGTGTCCTCGCTGCCCACCTTCAGTTCGGGGCCTGCGTGGGGAGGCTGGCGTGCCTGCAGCCAGCACGGGGGGCAGCGCGTCCCCCGTGGCTCCGAGCAGCCCCTCTCGCTCCACCGCCCCGTAGCAGCCCGAGTGCTGGATTCAGCCTTGGCTTCGCAGTGCCTGCCTGCGGCCTGGCGGGATGAGAGACTCGGCCCCCTCGGCCGGTGTGGCACGGTGCCCCCCTCGGCAGCTTCGTTCTCCGCCCGCAGGCGTTCAGCAGAGCTCACCGCATCGGGCAGAACAAGAAGGTGATGATCTACCGCTTCGTGACCAGAGCCTCCGTTGAAGAGCGCATCACCCAGGTGGCCAAACGGAAGATGATGCTCACCCACCTGGTGGTCCGCCCGGGGCTCGGCTCCAAGTCGGGCTCCATGACCAAGCAAGAGCTGGACGACATCCTCAAGTTTGGGACAGAAGAGCTCTTCAAGGATGATGTGGAAGGTGAGGTTGGGAAGGCGTCGGGGATGCTCTAGGCGAGGCAGGGCCCTGTCTGAGCTGCGGGGGCTCGCTCTCCTCTCCTTGCGCCCGCAGGCATGGTGTCTCAGGGACAGCGGATCACCATGCCAGATGCTGTCACCCCTTTCTCGGACACACTGTCAGCCAAAGGGGGTGCCGTGACTCCCGGCATGAAAAAAAAGCACGGTGGCACCCCACCAGGTGTGTAGCCCCCCTTGTTGGGGTGACCCATCCCTGGCCCTGCACCCAGCCTGAGCTCGCCTGGCTCTGGGGTTGGGCTGTCTCTGGCACAGCGATTTGTGCTTCCATTCACCTCGTTTTGCTCCCCAGGTGACAATAAGGACGTGGATGACAGCAGCGTGATCCACTACGATGACGCTGCCATCTCTAAGCTTCTGGACCGAAACCAGGATGCGACTGATGACACAGAGCTGCAGAACATGAACGAGTATCTCAGCTCCTTTAAAGTGGCCCAGTATGTTGTGAGAGAAGAGGACGGTGTGGTAATGTGATCAGTATCATGTCTTACAATCGCACCGTGTTGTACGTCCCTCTGTGTTTCCCTCTCCTGTTCTTGCGAGTGTTTTGGCGGGGGCAGGACTCCTCCCTGCTCTCCGTCTACGACTGCTGTCGATTGTCCCAGGCCTGGGGGTCCCAGATCTGATGGGACCGGCCGCAGGCAGAGGAAGCACAATTGTCTTCGTCCTGTGCAGCCCATGGTGCAAGCTGGGCTCTGTCCCTGTTGGCCCAGGACCTTAGTTCGATCAAAGCATCCGTAGGCGCCTCCTGTCCTTCTGAAGGCCCTTCCCCTGCAGACTGGGAACGGGGAGTTGGATTAGATGATCTCCAGAGGTCCCTTCCAGCTCCTGCCTTTCTGTGATTCTGTGGGCATGGCGCTGCTGGCGTTTGTTTTCCCAGTAGCTGACTGACTTCTTTCCTTCATCTGTGGTGAAGGCAGCTGTAGGCTGCTGGTCTGGGAGGTCTCTGCAGATCTGTGGCTTTGCCCTCGGCGCGAGCGCGGGCGCTGCAGGGCGGGATGGATGGCAGTGTTCAGGGGAGCTCTTTCTGGTTGGGAGGTCATCTCAGCCCTTTGACAACCTTGCACCGAGGTCAGTACGTTTGGGCGAAGACGCAGGAGCCAAATTCCAGCCGGTGGCTCGGTGCCCTCCCTCCCTCACCTTGGAGTGCCGTTAGGGGACAGGCAGTGGGGCGACGCGGGCGGGTCTGGGGCTGCCCGATCTCAAGCCTCTTTTCTCTGGCTTCGCAGGAGGAGGTGGAACGCGAGATCATCAAGCAAGAGGAGAATGTGGACCCTGACTACTGGGAGAAGCTGCTGCGGCACCACTATGAGCAGCAGCAGGAAGATCTGGCCAGGAACTTGGGGAAAGGGAAGAGAATCCGCAAGCAGGTCAACTACAACGACGCCTCGCAGGAGGACCAAGGTACGGCTGCAGCTGCTCGGCTCCCGGCTGGGCGCAGGCTGGGGGGCAGCAGGCTGGGGGGCAGCAGGCCCTGTGAAGCTGCACAAACAGGTTCCCTGATGGACACCTTGGCTGAGTTGTTGCTCGGCGTTCCTCTGTGCTTTGGTAGACTGTGTGGCTCTGTACTTCCCAGGTTCCTAAGCTTTCCAGGACAGAAATTCATCAAGGATTTTTTTGTTTTTTGGTCTGTAAACTCTAGTTTTGGTGAAAGAATTTAGGAAAAACATGTCTGTGGGCAAAATATTTCAATTTTGTTTTTTTCTGTATAGGAGAATACTAATTTTGGAAAACCTGAGAATGTGATTTCCTGCTTGTCGTGCCCTCCTCTCACTGCCTGGCAGTGGGTGCCAGTCCCACCTGCGGGCAGGCTCTCG